CCACGCGGAAATGCACCAGGCTGCACCATTCCACGCGGAAATGCACCAGGCTGCACCAATCCACCTGGAAAGGCACCAGGCTGCACCAATCCACGTGGAAATGCACCAGGCTGCACCAACCCACGCGGAAAAGCACCAGGCTGCACCAATCCACGTGGAAATGCACCAGGAGGTGTCAAACCAAGCGGTCCTACACCAGGCTGCACCAAACCATGCTGAACTGTACCAGGCTGCAACAAACCTTGCTGATCCATGCCAGGTTGCACCAAAGTATGCTGAACTTCGCCAGGTGGTACCAAATCATGCTGATCAGCACCAGGTTGCATCAAACCTTGCTGCTCTGCACCAGGTTGCACTGAACCATGCTGATCCATTCCAGGCTGCACCAAGCCATGCTGAACTGCACCAGGCTGCACCAAACCATGCTGATCTGCACTGGGTGGCACCAGACCTTGTTGATCTGCACTGGGTGGCACCAGACCTTGTTGATCTGCACTGGGTGGCACCAGACCTTGTTGATCTGCACTGGCTTGTACCAAATCACGCTGGTCCATTCCAGGCTGCACAAAACCATGTCGATCAGCTCTTGGCTGAACCAAACCACGTTGACCTATACCAGGTTGGACCAATCCACGGGAATCTGCACCAGGCTGTGTCCAACCAGGGGGATATGCACCAGGCTGCACCCAACCACTAGGAAATGCCCCAGGTTGCAAGAGATCATACTGACCCTTTTCAGGGTGGACTGACCTATGCTGATCTGCACCATGCTGTGCCACATCAAGCTGATCTACACCAGGCTGCATCAAAACCTGCTGAACCGTACCAGGTTTTATTAACCTACGCTGACCCATTCGAGGTTGGGTCAAACTATCTTGATCTTTGCCAGGTTGTACCAAACCAGGTGAATATTCACCAGGCTGTACCAAACCACGTTGATCTGCAACAGGCTGGGCCAAGCCAGGCTGATATGTATCAGGCTGCTCCAAAGCAGTCTGATCTCTCTCTGGCTGAATCAAACCACCACGCTCTGTGCCAGGTTGTATAAAGCCAGATGCTTCTAAACTGGGCTGCACAAAGCCTTGTTGATCTGCACTAACTTGAATCAAACCAGGTGATACCAAATGATGTCCATCTATAGGAACTGGAGGCAATCCACGTTGGTCTGTGCCAGAAGGTACTAATCCTTGCTGGTCCCTGCCCGGGGGAGCCAGTCCTTGTTGATCCATGCCATATATTACAAATCCATGCTGATCCATGCCAAGTGGTACCAATCCCTGACCATCCACTTGAGGTGGTAGCATACCAAGCTGATTTACACTGATGGGTACCACACCAGGTGGTATAGTGCTAGGATGTAGGAATCCAAGCTGATCCATGCCAGGTAGTCCTATTTCATGATGATCCTGGCTTAGGAAGCCTTGACCCTGGCTCGTGGGTACCCCACCACGCTGATCTGGATGCACATACTGATACTGATCTCTGGCCAAGGGTGTGTCTTGCTGAGCTGGACTGGTATGTATATCTCTTCTTGGATACATTGAAGTAAACCGTTCTCTGCTCCTGTGGAGATCTGAATCTGTTCTCAATTGGGATGTAGAAGGCTGATGCAGTCTGGACATGCTAGCTTCATCACGGGCCCTTGTGTGCTGTTCTTTACCAGGAACAAAGGTGCCTTTGCTTCGTTCTCTGCTAGGGACCCTTTCGTAGAGGTGGCCTGTGGCACTGGATCCCGGTAAGACCTGACCTGGTCCGCCAGTGGAATCTGGAATGTGATCAGCGCTTGCATGCTTGGTGGAGCTCCCACTTGGAATGATGTCACTTGCTGTTAAGGGAGACTGCGCTTTGCGCTTAGAAAGTCCTACTGTTGTTTCTGAGCCCTGGTTGAACAAGAAGAAGGAAATCAAGTTACTACAAGCCAAAAGTTCCTTAAGAGTGGAAAGGAAGAACTGGGATATCTGATTAGGAGGATTTAGGACCCTTCAATAAAAACACTCTCTTCCTAAAAGTGAAGCTGGACATAAAAAAAAAAAAGACTGACATTTTTGGTTTTTTTTTTTTGTTTTTTGTTTTTTCTCCAGTACCAGGAACCGAACTCGTGACCTTGCGCTTGCCAGGCAGGCGCTTTGCCGCTGAGCTAAATCCCCAGCCCCAAGACTGACATTTTTGAAGGTCACCAGACTTTGGAGAATCTGCACAGTTGCAAATGCCATCATATGTGTCATTTCCTCCATAAAAGACGGGGAAAACTGCAGGTAGGATTGATCTATGAACCTTCCTGGAGTCTGTAGCTAGAGGGCATAAGTAACTTGTTAAATGAAAAACATAAAGTCTGCCCCACTGTTGACACATTGTGGATGGTAAAGTGCACACTGGAGGGCAAGTAGACCAAAATATAAATGAGCACACCCTTGGATCAGGAAATCCCATAGATGGGAATTTTCTCTATGGACTCTTACAAAAGGAGGCCAAGACAGACAGACGAAGCTGGAGTTGGCAGCATTGCTTACAAGCACAGATTATCAATAGGGGACTGGTGGCCTGGTGTGGTGGCACACACATGTAATCCTAGCACTTGGAAAGCTGAGGCAGGAGAATTGCTACAAGTTTGAGGTCAGCCTGGGCTACATAGTGAGTTCAAGACCAGCCTGAAATACACAGCAAGACAGTGTCTCAAAAGGGTGGTGGTGGTGTGGACGGGTATATTTAAGGCACAGATATACAGGGGAATTCTATGGATTCACTAAAAATTAATAATGGACTATTTCCATTGCCAGCCAAGATGAAATAACAGAGCTTTACCCTTCTGTCTACAATAACCAAAAGACAAAACCACAAAGACCAACAATTTCAAAACAGCAACTTTCCAGACCCTGGGTATCAGGCAATAAAGGGTAGACATCCCTGAGAGGCTGGTGAGACAAACTACGTGAGCCTTTCCATCTCCTCGGCTTACTGCCTTGCTGGGTTTCCAGCTGCAGTGCAGGGAGAGGGGAGGAAGGTGGAGCCCAGTAGATGCCCTGAATGGCAGAGGCTGCACTGGCCATTAAGGGAGGTTAAGGCAAGCAGAATTCGCGTGATAGCGTAGCAAAAAGGAGGAGGAGGCAGAAGGTTCTCCTGTAGCATTCAGCTCAGAAATGCAGTGCAGACAGGTGAGGAGACTGGGGAAGTAACCATCTCCAGGGGACAGACTCTCACCTGGGATAGGATCTGTTTTCTTTTTCTTTTTTTCTTTTTTTCCAGTACCGGGAATCGAACTCATGACCTTGTGCTTGCCAGGCAGGCGCTGTGCTGCTGAGCTAAATCCCCAGCCCCTAGGATCTGTTTTCACCAGCCAGTGTGGGAAAGCTCATCACTCAGGGGTGCTTAAAGAGATGGCCGGCCCTAGATGGAACAGTGCACCTGACCACCGAGCAAAATCACAAAAGCAAGGCCTGAGAAGATCAGGCTGTTTTTAAGCAACTCCATCTGGGAGGATGAGTTCAAACAGGTATGTAAAAATTCTAAAAGTAAGCTGGGTGTGATGGGGCACGCCTGTAATCCCAGCACCTGGGAAGCTGAAGCAGGAGGATTGCCATGAGTCTGAGACCATCCTGGACTACAAAGTGAGTTGAAGGCCAGCTTGAACTGTATAGCAAGACCCTGTCTCAAAAAGACAAAGAAAACCAAACCAACCAAACAAACAAAAAAACAACTTAAATTGAATTTACGCAGATGAAAAATACAATGAGAGGAAAACTACACTGGATGCGACAAGTATTAATGAGGCATTGTGGAAGAATGGGTTACTGAATCTGAAGGCAGAAAAACAGAAACAATCTAAGATGAAATGAGAAAAATAAAAATAAAACATGAAAAGAGCACCATGGAGCTGTTTCTCTCTCTGTCTCTGTCTCTGTCTCATACACACAGACACACACACAACTGGGTCCCCTGGAGAGAGGGAGAGGACAGGAAAGAAAAGGTCAAATGGCAAAAAACTTTCCAAACTTGAGAACGATCAGCTCAGAGATACAAGGAGCTTAGTGTGTTCAAGCACAGGAATGATGAAAGCAGTGACATCATGACTCATTACAAATGGCTTGGTGGCAACAAGAAAATCTTAAAAGCAACTAGAGAAGAAGATACATACAGAATGCAGTGGAGCAGGACAATGATTGCTCCTTGGAGGGCCAGGCGTGGTGGCTCACACGGGAGGCTGAGGTAGGAGGAGGATCACTGTGAATTCTAGGGCCAACCTGGGCTACATATAGCAGGATCTTGTCTCAAAAAAACAAAAACAACCAACAACAAAAAGTCAGTTGTTGTTCATCGGAAACAAGCAAGCACAGCAGTATGGCACCTTGCTGCAGTACATAAAAATGGCAACTAGAATTCTTTCAAAGTATCTTTTTTTTTCCTTTGGTTGTAGGAATCGAACTCAGGACCTTGTGCTTGCCAAGCAGGCGCTTGTGCCACTGAGCTATATCCCCGGCTCTAAAATATCTTTAAAAGTGATGGAAAACTGGGCATAGTAATGCATGCCTCAATCCCAGCACTCAAGACACTGAGGGAGGAGGATCTCAAGTTTGAGGCTTCCTTGGGCTACATAGTGAGTTCAAGGCCACTATGAACTGCATAGCAAGACCCTGTCTCAAAATAACAGAAAACAAAATAAAACAACAACAAAAAAATGCTGTTATTTTATGTACCTTTTTCAGGAGAGAGAAAACACTCCCAGGTAATGAGGAGACCAACTCTGACACATCCTGATTTCAGAACCACTAAACCCTGGAGGGGGGATGTGGATTTCCTCTGCACTTCCTTCTCCGTGCACCTATGAAGTGGCGACTTCAGCAATTAGCCTTCGACTCTCCTCCGCCTGAACTGGGGCTCTCTGTTCTTACTACCTTAGTTGAGAGCCCCTCTCCACAACCTGCTATTTCTGTGCTATAATACGAAGCAAAATCCTTATTTCTGTTTCCCTAGGGACATGCTGTGAGGTCAGATGCATTCATTTGCCCAGTTAAAATCAGGTTGTTTTGTGAAACATCTCCCTGAATCGCCCCACTGTTCCGGTGATCCCCAGACAGGCGATATCTACATGAGGACTGCCTCATGGGTAAATAGAGGAGGAGGGGCTTAGGATAAATGCAACTTGACTGAAAAACAACAGCAAAATGTAGCTCACGTAGTTCAGGCTGGCCTTGAACTCACTATGTAGGCCAGAGTGGCCTTGAACCCATGGTGATCCTCCTGACTCAGCCTCCAAAGTGCTGGGATTACAGGCATATAATATACTCATTGACTTGAAATACACATCCCTCCAAAAAAAATTCCTGCCTCAGGAATCATAAATCTAATCAGAGCTGTTTATAAGGCCTCAACTACCCCAATATTCTCAAAATGGATATTGTGCAGTCTTGTTCAAGAGTTTAGCTCGGGGCCTATTACTTTATAGTCCACTAGTGTCTAATCCAGGGTTTAACCATCAAGCAGCGCATAACAGGAAAGTGTTCCTTCCCATGGGGAGATTCACACCCAACTCGTGTGCCTATCTTTGTCCTGTTCTCCAGTTTTTGCCTCCAAGTGTCCCACGAGACTTGGACCTTGAATTCCACAAGATAACAAGAACCGGTAATATTATTTCCAGGCCATCTGGAAAGTTAAAGACTTTTTATCTAAAGTTATCTTATCTAAAGTTAAAGACTTTTTTTTTTTTTTTTTAAACTGCTTTGTCCTCACAGAAGGCTTAGAAATAAGACCTTCAGGGCCAGGATGTGGATCAGCGGTGAAGCACTGGGCCAGCACACACTAGGGCTTGGGTTCCAGCATAACAAAGAAAAGAGGAAAAGAGAGGGAAGAAGAGAGCCGTTCCAGGTTTTGCTTTCTACTTAGCCTATCAGATCCCCCAAGCTTCAAAGAGAAAATCCTCTTTCCCTTGGGCATGCTGCTTCTGCAAGAGAGCACTTAAACCCTTGTCCTCAGGGCCCTTGGACTTAGTAAAAGTGTCCCTGGGAGGTGACTAGAGTCTCCCCTCTTAGATGTCCGTCACAGTTGAGGCTCGCTGGCATTTGGATGCATTATCTTGGTCACAGGAAACCAAGGAAACCGTTTTCCTTTCTTTGCAGTCTCAGGGGTTGAATCTAGGGTGTTCTACCCCTGGGCTATATCCCCAGCATTTAAAATTTTTTATTTGTTTGTTTTGTGGTACTGGGTAATCAAACTCAGGGACCTCTACCACTGAGCTACTTCCCCAGGAGTTTTTTGAAATTTTAAAATTGTGGGTCTTGCTGAATTGCTTAGGCAGGACTTGCATTTGCATTTCTCCTGCTGCAACCTCCCTAAGTGTTGGGATTACAGATATGTGCTGCTGTACTCAGCTTGTTTCTTTAGACAGGGTCTCAGTAAGTTGCCCCGGCTGGGCTTGAATTCGTGATCCTCTTGCCTCAGCCTTCCAAGTAGCTGGAATTATAGATGTGTGCCACTGTGCATGGACAAGGAAACTTTTTCCTCTTTTGCAGTGTTGGAGAGGTAACCCAGGCCTTGCACATGCAGGGCAAGCACTTTGAATGTTCGTGTTTACTCTTATTTACCTCTGGAGATGTTCTTCATTTTGAACAACAGTCAAAACATGCTTCCTCACCTTTAGAGAAGTAAACATGTCTAAAGGTATTTATTTATGTCTTGTGGTCATCCTCTGCTATTACCCTGAGAAAATGTGTTGGTTACTAAAAATAACATGAGAGTGGTGCATGTGTAAAAAAGCATGGGAGTGAGTGAGAGAGGGAGAGAAAGGGGGGAGAGTGGGGAGGAGGGAAGGAAAGAAGGAGGGAGGCAGGGGGGAGGGAGGGAGGTAGAGAGTGCTTACATGGCCCTTGTGAGGTCCTGGGTCCTATCCTAGCACCACAATTTTAAAGAGACAGCAGAGGGCACTCTGTTTGCAGGGTTCTCTTGCACTCTTGTAACTCCTTCCCCGCTGTTTCCCCAAATCAGAAAATAGCTGGCGAGACTGGCAGGCTATCAGGTGAACCCAGTTAGCATTTGGTGTTCCCCTGTATGGACACTTGGGGGCGTGAAAAGTTTCACTGACCTGCTGCTGTCTTAGTGACTGTGTGATTCTGTTTGAGGAACACAGTGGCACAGAGCTAGGGGAACGGGACTGTCAAAGCCAAAGGGGCAGCTAATTCAGGTCTGCAGGGGCCATCTGAAAATAACCCAGCTTGATATTATTCAGATGAAGAAAGATTGGGAGTTTGGAAATGATTTGGTTATCCTGTTGTTATGGTTTATGTCTGTGTGTCCCCCCAAAGCCTCATGCGGCCATGGGGCAGGCTTTTAGAGTTTGAT